TCTAAGGGTCCCATGATTCTATATTGTGAGAATCAAGCGGCTATCGCATACACGAAGGATCCTAAGTATTACAGCAAGAACAAACACATTGACATCAAGTATAACTTTGTGAGAGACGTAGTGACAATAGGAGAAATAACTTTACAATACATTCCTACATGTAAAATGATAGATGATCCTTTTACAAGGCCATTTCTAGAGACTTGTTTGAAAAACATGCTAAGGCTCTAGATTTGTATAGGATTTGATGATATTTCAGTATTGTAAAATAACTTGATTGTTATAATATTCTCTTATATATAATACTATTGGATTTATATTCAAATATAATATGCATGTGATATTTTGTAGGAAATAAAGTGTGTCGAACAAGTCGCGAGATTGGCTCTCTCACACGAGCAATCGCCTCTTACGTCGAGGAACATGAAGAGATGAGTTTCACCACCATATTATGACTTGTTTTATAATCCAGGCAAACGTTTCTCTAAGATAATGAGTTTAAGGATCACTGAAGAAAGAAACTAGGGTTAAACATCTGGAGGTATTTAGACCAAGGTCTGAACGATGTTGGATAATCGAAAGAATGAGGCACATACACCAATATAATATGTAAACATTGTAGCACGTGTTTCATACCACGTGTATCAAGTGATCAATGGGTCAATGAAAGAATGGTTCCCGACTTCTTCATTGTGTTAGACCCCGAAAGGTTAAAATGACTTTCAATGAAATACCCTTTGACCTTTAACTGATTCTTGAAGTTTCGATCGGTGTTGCTACTTTAGCATGTTACTAATAGCCATGAGTGATTCGGCAATGAAGTGTATGTCTAGGAAAACAGTTGATATGGAACAGATAGATTCAAGTAGAAAGGGAAGATGATTAAAATGAAAAATTCAACTTGTATACATAAGCAAGCTATTACACTCGAGTGTAATTGAGTATATAAAGTTAAAAGATGAACTCGAGTTCACCTCTTTAAGAGGTTGAGAGATCGAATAAGTATCTACTAAAGTAGTTAATGACGTCTGGGATATTGTGAGTAATAGTGTCCTTAAAATTGTAGTGAATTCTTTCCACATGTGATTGGATTCCTACGTAGGGCTTGTAAAACCTTAAAGGTAAGCTCTTCATGCTCACATTTCGTGTTCACACCCAATTTTTAGCTCTCCATATTTGTTTAACTAAAGTTCTAATAACAATAATAATAATAAAAATAAAAATAATAAAATATATATATGTTACAAAATAGTAGGAATACGAAAAGATTTTTAATTATTATTTATTTTATTTCATAAATACGATTTTTTATAAAAATTAAATATATTATTATTTTTAGATTTCACATCAAATGAATATTTTTCTTAAGGGTTAGCTCGATTTTTCCAATTAAATATAATTTCTATTATTGCGATGAATATTTTTCTTGACATTTTTCAAATTAGGAAGGCTTAATTAATTAATGAGTTACTAATTTCTATTAATTTTCTTTTAGAATGACTAATTTTATCAAATAAGCTAGTCTTGCAAATTATTGTTTTTTAATTTAATAAATTATGGTTATTTAATAAGCAAAGGGTTATAATTTAAATGGACTTTATTTGAGAAAATTTGGCAATCCAATTTATTTTAACTCGGCCAATCCGCGCGTGCCACATAAGAAGCACATGGATTGTGTTTCTTTAGATTCGATCCCAACTGTCCGATTTAATCTAAGGGACCAATTTAATTCAGCATTTTATATATATATATATATATATATATATATATATATATATAATATTTATTTTATTTATTTATTTATTTAACACTTGATTAATTTTGACAGTTCAATAAACGATCAGACAACCCAAAATGAGTAAGACTTTTCCTCTCCTAAAAGACACCTACCGCCGCCCTACTTATTCCAAAATCACGTTGACACCTTCATCTTCTCCAAAAGAATAAAGATCACCGACCTTCCTTTTCCAGAAATCAGATGCCTACACTAGCCAATCTTTTCATGCCTCAACCTAGAAAACGGAAGAGACACTCCCTCCTCAGGCACTACAGGCTACTCGCCCATCACCCCCCACGTGATCCCACCATTCTACTGTCAGAAGAACAACTCTGTGCCGCCGGAAAATGGCACATCAGTCGCTCAACCCTCTCAAATCGACCTAAAAAGGTTAATTTTTGAGAGATTTTCTTCTCCGACATGATTACTTTGATGTTTCCTCTGAGAGTGGTGTTTCCAAAAATTCAAAATTTGAATTCTTGGAGCCCAAATTGGCTAAAAAAGGGAACCATTTGGTTCTCATAAAAATCATCCATGAACATCCAAAAACAATCGGGAAAAAAACAAAGAAGAAATCATCAAAAAATCAGTGAGAAAATCCAAGAATTGATTAAAAAAAAGACCCAACAACAATCTAGCGAGTCTGTTCTAGTGTTGAAATTTGATTTGAAGTTCGAGTTCGAAGTCGAAATCTCTTGACGTCAAATCCCCTGGTTGCTACTCTACATAAGGTTAGTACACATCACCTTTTGTTGTTATTATTCATGATTAAATGTTGAGCACCTATCTGAATTTCTGCTTCTTTGGACATTTGTGTGAGTTTTATACTGATTTCTGCAAGTTATTAACTTTGTATGAACCATGTGTCTTTGCAATGCTTATTTCTTTTAGAGTGAAGTGTGCCAGTAGAAATTACATTGTTCCTATTTATTTATTTTTAGAAAAGAGCCATTACGTAATAGGCTCAAGGTTGAGTTATGAATATGTAGATGAAGAAGTTACTACGTGATTGAAGTTTAGAATATGATAAAATTAATTGATGTTGAGTCTGTTCTGCCCTCATTTGTTTAGCATATTGTACATGCTAGTTCATATTAGGTAAACTAAGAATTAGTTACACATGAATTTGATCAGATTCAAGAGGTCCTTACACTTGTTATTTGGAATTTAAATTAGTTGTTCTCTTTGATCCCCTGAATACTTCATTTTCTGAAATTTTGACAAGTTTCTCTCCTTGTTCTCATATCTCGCCTAAGTAATTAGAAGGATCCCATGATAGCTTTATATTGGATTGAACTACTGCATTTTTCTCCTCTCTCTCATGAGTATTGGCACGTAATAAATCTACCCGTGTTCATGTGAAGTCGAGGACACTAGATAAGAATGTATTCATCAGCTTATTAATGCATGCTAAGTGTGTTTACGTAATACAGTCCGCTACCAGCATATTAGTTCAATGATGTTAGTTTATTATATTTGATTAAGTAGTATAGTCATGGAATTTCCTCTCCTATAATGAGGAATTGAAACATTTACTTAAGTGTTCATGTGCCTTTCAATGACCTGTTGTCAAGAGTTCCATAAATGCTAAGCTTTTTTATCGGTTTAAGAAATGGTCCGTAATTAACTTTGAGTCCTCTATATTTGTATCCGGTCAGGAAATGCAAGCCCAACACCAATGCGAACTTCAACATAAATATGTTCAGTGCAAATGCATTCCATCCTAGTTTTGTTACTGTTTGGAGTTCTTTCAAAGCCTTCATCTCTTTTTATCATAAAATTGTTCACCCTGCCTGTAAATGTGTAGACCTTTAATATTGTTATTACCAAGACAATTTACAGTTGTAAGCTACATGTGATAATATTGTTTGACTTCCTTTGTTGGACTCAAAGAAAAATATATAGTCTCATGCTTCCGTAGGCAGTTGTAGACATGCTTAAACCTGTTTAATGACATAAAAATATATATTCCTGAACATTAAAGCTCCAAACTACTGTACATAAAATTTGGAGGGATATGAATTTGTAAAAAACATGTTTTCCAAGAGTCTGATAGCCGAAATAAGTAAGCCTGAATTTGGGTTAACAGATGGCAAGGTAGGATCTATTTTGATGTGCTTTCTCACAAGTTTTGAATCTCATTTACTAATTCTTTTCTTTTGTTTATTTCACATGTACACTCGGGAGCGCATTTGGAGTTGTGATACGAATCATTCATCTGTCCAAATCATATTTGTGCTCACCTACATTATCGTTTGTGTCTAGCAGCCTTCATCGCATCAATAGTGTCCAACATTTCCTTCTCGCTTCAAAGTTTTCACGTTCTTTATATCATATATGTTATTATCTTTTGGCTAACATTTTACCCATGAGTATTTCATTTATATTTATGCTATGCTTTTATTTTGTTTGGGTTTGTACGAATCAATTAAAAACGGTGGTAAGACGTAGTTGCCCACCTCGCTTCCCTTTAGATATTGGGTTTATTATAGTTATTTAGTCTACCTCAGGAAAAAAAGAGGTTCTACATTAAGACGCGTTTTGAATGTCGCCAAATTGGCGTATATATGTGTTACACTTATATATTTGTTACATCTTTCAATATTTTCCAAACTAACATAGTTTTCCTTTCTCTTTATTTTCTTTTCTTTTTTCATCATTTATCCCAAAAAGTACGTTGATTTGTGTCGACTTGCAAACTGGCTGACTCACAATACAACCTTCGATCAAAACAAAAGATGACTTCAACGTTGCTGCAAACATAATGATACCTATTGAGAACCCCGAAGGTTCTCGAAACATGATAGACATCCAAAATGAAGAGAAAATGGCTCGCATGGAGTAAGAACTCGAGATCTTGAGAGAAGAACTACGCCAAGTACGAGACTTGGCCAAACTGTCAGCTACCACTTTCCCTACTTTCAAGGCGTCTATCTACTTCGCAAAGGCTGACCTGCCTTCTGCCGACTTGCCAAATCAGCCAGAAAAAACTCAACACGCTCTTGCTCACGGTCAAGTTCCACCAGCTTCTCCAACTGCAGTTAGGACCTTTCGCGACCTTTCCAATCGCGATCCTACCATACCAACAATGCAGCAGATACTTAGGGCACATGTCACCGCTCCCTATGAGCCACATGTTCCACCCATATATGCCACTCGAGCTCCTACCTTCACAATACCAGCAGTGGTTAATGTCCCGTATGAGGTCGATTAATATGAAGAAATGGAGAAAGATACCCAGATGAAAGAAGATGCATCGATAAATGCCCAGCTTCAGGGTCTAAGAAAGGCATTGAAAATCTTACAAGTTACTAGAGGAACAGAGAGTCTGGATTATGATGACTTGTGCATCCATCCAGACATTGACATGCCGGTAGGGTACAAACCACCGAAGTTTGACATGTTCGATGGAAAAGGTGACAATCATGCACATTTAAGGGCATACTGTGACAAGTTAGTTGGTGTAGGGAGAAATGAGAAGCTAAGGATGAAGTTGTTCATCCGGAGTCTGTCTAGAGAAGCATTGACCTGGTATACCCGCCAAGACCATCGCAAATGGTGTGACTAGCAGGAAATGGATGAGGACTTCATGACTCATTTCAGATTCAATACTGAAATTACTGGTGACAGATTCTCATTGGCCAATATACAAAAGAAGCCATCTGAGAATTTCCAGGAATATGCATGACGTTGGAGAACTGAGGCCGCAAGGGTGCAACCACCACTAGACGAGAGTGAGCTCTCGAAGCACTTTATTCGAGCTCAAGAAAGTGTCTACTTCGACAAGATAATGTCAATGATGGGCCAGAAGTTTGCAGAATTGGTCAAGATGGGAGACTTTATAGAGGAGGGTGTTAAATTTGGGAAGATTCAGTCTATAGTCGCATTGCAAGCCGCAAGTAGGGCTATACAATTGGGTTCCATTGGCGGCATAAAAAATAAAAGGGAGAATGTTTCAGTTGTCACTTTCCAACAAGGAGGATCGTCCCACCGGTACCCCAATAATCCCCAAATTGTTGTGCATGCTTCATACGTCCCGTACCCAGTGTATAATACCCAACCACACAATAGTCCACCCCGAACACCAGCATACCAAAATCCTCCAAGACCATATGTCCCTGTCCAAGCACCAATCCACCAAAATAGACCAGCATATGCACCGAGACCACGTCCAAATCTTGAAGCTAGAAATGCTCGCACTTACACACCGATTGTTGAACCCTACGCCCAATTGTTTGAGTGGTTGAGGACAGTGGGAGTGCTGCAACCAATTGAAGGAAAACTTTCTGATCCAATCCCTCGTAATTTTGATGGAAACAAGCGATGCTCTTACCACTCGAGAATCCAAGGACACGACACAGAAGATTGTTATAGGTTAAAGAACCAGATCGAGTCTTTGATTAGAAGAGGAGTAATCAATGCACTCCAGCACCTCCCAATTTGAACAAAAAACCCTTGCCAAACCACGAGAATCGAGAAGTCAACATGGTTACTCTAGATGAAGAATATGGGGGCTCTGACTGTCCAGACATAGATGAACCAGATGCCATGACATCTTCGGCACAACCTGTTATCACTGTTCAACTAAGGGAACCTCTGACTGTCCAAACATATCTCCCAAGAGTTGTAGTGACCACTCTGATCGCTAAAAAGCCTGAATATAACACCAAAGCAGTCTCATGGGACTATCGAGCAAGCGCCAAGGGAAAGATGATTGACACTGCCGTGGCTCAAAAGATGACTAGGTTAGGGAGGTTTTATGCCCCAGAGGACCTAAATCAAAGAGTTCTTGGGAAAGAACAGAATCTAAGGAAGAATGTTACCGATGTTGAAGCCGCAGAATTTTAGAAAAAGATGCAGCCTAAAGACTGTTCAGTCGAAGAGCAACTGAAGAAGACAACTGCCAATATATGTATTTTGTCTCTACTTATGAGTTTTGATGCTCATAGGAATGCTTTAATGGAAGTGTTAGACGGAGTGAATATTCTAAAAGATACCAAAGCCTTAGCTTCAATGATTGGAAGAATAGTGAAAGCTAACAAGATTTATTTACATTATAATGAGCTGCCTACAGAAGGGGCTGGGCACAACAAAACACTTCATATCACAGTCAAGTGTTATGATAAGGTTGTGACTCGAGTTCTAATTGATGGTGGTTCTGTATGCAACATCTGTCCTTTTACCACTTTGAGGGATTTAGGTGTTAATATGGAAGAGATAAGGGAAAGTCGTGTGAAAGTTAGAGCTTTTGATGGAGCGAAAAGAATTGTCATTGGAGAGATCTATCTCACGTTGCTGGGAAATGGCAAGAGCGGTTCCTTCAACTCTTCACCAATGTGTAAAGTTTGAGTGGGGTCGCTCAGAAGTTACCATCCACGGAGAGCTCAGTCACCTCATCCTTTCTGTTTATTCTATCCCAGTCGTTGACGAGTTAGACGGAGCCACCTTTCACACTTTAGAAATTATGCAATCTATAAGGGTCGGTGAGGAAGCAGAGACAGGCAATACAAAGTTGTCAAGTACAGCGAAAATCGCAACAAGTTAACCATTCATGATGTCGAACTTGGAGAAATCTTGCAGAATTGGACCACCAGCCCGTCCCTATTTCAACCAGAGTCCTGGTAGTGTGGAAAAGTAGTCTTAATTTTAAAAATTCGCATGATCAAATTGAGGCTTTAATCATGCCTAATCTTTTGTTGCTTGCCTCTTCTAAAAGCTAGAATGCTTTGAAACAAAAAGTTTTTATTTTCTTTAAAAAAAATTCTCGTTATTTTAAATATCTATTTATTTTTACTTACCTTTTGCATTTTTCAGTACTCATATTATTAAAAATCCTCGTTCAACGGTTATGACATGTAACAAATCCACCAAGCAAGGTGAAAGCGATGAACAAGATCACGAAGAGTAAGAAGAAAGCATGATGCCAAAAAATCTACCACATGAGATCGAGCAAGTTGAAAGTAAAAAAAAAACCAATATGGATGAAGCAGAGGTTATCAACTTAGGAGATGAGGAAATCGTGAAGGAAACACGAGTCAACATACATTTGGAGGCTGAAAGAAAGCAAGAGTTAATAGAGTTGCTTAAGCAGTTTGCTTGGTCTTATGATGACATGCCAGGATTAAGCACTGATATTGTCTCGCACAAATTATCGACTGATCCCACTTGTCTACTCGTTAAGCAAAAGACAAGAAAATTCAAGCTAGATTTGAGTTTAAGGATCAAGGATGAGGTAACTAAGCAAATTGAGGCGAACATTGTGAGGGTTACAAATTACCCTACATGGTTAGCCAATATTGTGCCTGTGCCGAAAAAGGATGGAAATATCAGAATATGTATCGAGATCTCAACAGGACCAGTCCTAAGGATGATTTCCCTCTTCCAAATATTCATTTACTCATTAATAATTATGCAAAACATGAGTTGCAATCATTTCTCGATTGCTTTGCAGGATATCACCAAATCCTGATGGATGAAGATAATGCAGAGAAGACATCGTTTATCACTCCATTGGGACTGTATTGCTAGAGAGTAATGCAACCTACATGAGGGCCATGACTACCCTTTTTCACGATATGATCCATAAGGAAATTAAAGTGTACGTGGATGATGTCGTTATCAAATCCAAAAGAAGTTCAGATCACCTGGATGACTTACGAAAGTTCTTTAAGAGGTTGCGTAAGTATAATCTGAAGTTGAATCCAGCAAAGTGTGCATTTGGAGTACCCGCGGGAAAACTATTGGGATTCATCGTTAGCAGGAAAGGCATAGAGTTGGATCCATCAAAGATAAAAGCAATCCAGGAGCTACCTCTACCCAAGACCAGGAAGGACGTGATGAGTTTTTTGGGAAGACTGAATTACATCAATCGGTTCATAGTTCAATCCACAATGATTTGTGAACCCATAGTCAAGTTACTGAAGAAGGATGCTGCCACAAAATGGACAGAGGAATGCCAAAGGACTTTCGATAGAATCAAAGAATACTTGTCCAACCCACCAGTATTGGTCGCACCAGAGCCTGGAAAGCATTTGTTATTGTATCTATCTGTCATGGATAATGCATTTGGATATATATTGGGGCAGAATGATGAGACAGGTAGAAGAGAGCAAGTTATTTACTATTTGAGAAAGAAGTTCACACCATACGAGGCAAGATACTCCTTGTTGGAACGAACATGTTGTGCTTTAACTTGGATTGCGCAAAAATTTAGGCATTACCGGTCTGCATACACCACGTACTTGATCTCAAGAATGGATCCACTAAAGTACATCTTTCAGAAGCCCATGCTTACGGGTAAACTGGCGAAGTGACAAATTTTGTTGAGCGAGTTTGATATTGTGTATGTGACACAGAAGGCCATCAAAGGATAAAACCTAGTTGATGACCGCGCAGAAAACTCGGTGGACCAGGATTACAAGCCACTCACGACCTACTTCCCTGATGAAGATGTGTTGTTTGTAGGAGAAGATATATCAAAATCGTATGATGAATGGAGAATGTTCTTTGATGGGGGCATCAAATTCTCTAGGAGTTGGAATAAGAGCAATCTTAATTTCGGAAACAGGTCATTATTACCCAATCTCAGCCAAGATTAGGTTTTATTGTACTAACAACATGGCGGAATATGAAGCTTGTATTCTCGTACTTAGGATGGCCATAGACATGAACGTCAAAGAACTCTTGGTGATAGGAGATTCCGACTTGTTGGTTCATTAGGTGTAAGGAGAATGGACCACTAAGAATGTCAAGATCCTGCCTTATTTGCATTACATAAAAGAGTTTAGTAGGAGATTCACAAGGATTGAGTTCAAGCATGTCCCTCGAGCTCAAAATGAGTTTATCGATGCTTTGACAACATTGTCCTCGATGATTCAACACCCATACAAGAATTACATTGACCCTATTGATATAGAGATGCATGATCAACATGCATACTGTTTTCATGTAGATAAGGAAATGGATAGAAAACCATGGTATTATGACATCAGAAGATTGATAGAAGCACAAGAATATCCTGAAAATGCCACAAACAAGCAGAAATGGACTTTGAGGAGGATGGCCAATCATTTATTCCTTAACGGAGAAATCCTATATAGGAGAACTTTGGATTTGGGATTGCTGAGGTGTGTCGACACCGCAGAAGCGACAAGGCTTTTGGAAGAAATACATGCAGGAACATGTGGACCTCACATGAATGGGTTCACTTTGGCAAAGAAAATTCTAAGAGCCGAATATTTTTGGATAACCATGGAGAGAGATAGCCTCTGGTATGTGTAAAAGTGTCATCAGTGTCAAGTGCATTTGCCGCTTGGGGCATGGATGTTATTGGACCATAGAGCCTCCCGCGTCAAATGGACATCGTTTCATCCTGGTGGCTATCGATTATTTCATAAAATGGGTCGAAGCTTCGACATACAAGGCAGTGACTAAGAAGGTAGTGGCAGACTTTATTCGCAATAACATAGTTTGTCGGTTTGGAATTCCAGAATCAATCATAACAGATAATGCGGCCAACCACAACAACGATCTTATGAAGGAAACTTGTGAAAGGTTCAAGATTGCTCATCGAAATTCCACGGTTTACAATCCACAGATGAATGGGGAAGTTGAGGCAGCAAATAAGAATATCAAGAAGATTTTAAGGAAAATAGTGGACAGTCATAGGCAATGGCATAAGAAGATACCATATGTTTTGCTCGGTTATCGCACCACAATCATAACGTCAACTGGGCAACTCCTTATATGTTGGTTTATGGTTCGGAGGCAGTAATACCTGCCGAGGTAGAAATACCATCTTTAAGGATTATCCAAGAGGTTAGTCTGGACGATGCAGAATGGATACGTAGCAGGCATGAACAATTGATGCTCATCGATGAAAAGAGGATGGACGCGGTTTGTCATGCACAACTCTATCAGAACAGAATGACCAAAGCATTCAACAAGAAAGTCAAACCTCGCCAGTTCACACCGGGGCAATTAGTATCGAAGAAGATCTTTACTCACCAAGGAGAAGCCGAAGGGAAATTTGCACCAAATTGGCAAGGACCCTACATGGTTCATAAAGTACTCTCTGGAGAAGCGGTAATCTTAGCAGAAATGGATGGCAGAGTGAGCACAAAGCCAATCAATTTAGACGCCATCAAGAAATACTACATCTGAAGACCTCAAGATTAGTGCTTATTTCTTGTACTTTTGCATTTTTGATGCAACAGAACTACGTTTAGGCCTGACTTCCCACAACGGGGTACGTAGGCAACCCACATCGGATCCGGTCTCCCTTAAGGATTGTCTACATATCCCATCATTTCATGTTGTATTTAGAACTACGCTCGACCTGAATTTCCTTAATGGGATATGTAGACAATCCTTGTCGGATTAAGTCCCTTGCATTTCATATTTTCACTTTCCCCTGTTGATTTGAACTACGTCCTGACCTGATTC